ACCTCCAGTATTATTCTTTACCAAGATTGTTGGCTATTCAGAATCCCTTGAGATTCCTTATTATTTGAGGTTGGATTTTCCTATTTCTGCAAAAATCTTCTTAGTCTGTTTTGTGTAGCTATAAAAGAATACCTAAGACTGGGTAATTTATAAGTAAATTTACTGGGTTTACAATTCTGGAAGGTGGGAATTCCAAGAGATGCTTGTGGCATCTGGTGAGGACCTCAATGGTGCTTCATAGCAGGGTGGAAAAGTGGAAGGGGAAAGAAGTACATATAAAAGACAGGACAAAGGAGGATGACCCACTTTATAACACCATGCTCTTTCAAGTCTTGAAAGAACGAACCCAGTCACGTGGGAAAGACATTATTTCATCTTAACCTAATTATCTCTTAAGGCCCTGGCTCCCAAAACCATTAAGCTGGCAATTAAATTTAAACATGAGTTTTAGTGAGGACAAACTACATCCAAACCATAACACCCTCACTGGGATTTCCATAGGGAATATGTTTTTCCATCCCTTCACATTGAACCTGTGTCTCTAGATCTAAAGTGAGTCTCTTACAGACAGCATCTAGTTGGCTCCCTTTTTTTGTTGTTTTCAATTTAGTCACTGATGGGGAAGGATTTCTTTGCTATTTTGTTTTCATCTATTAAGCTTTTTTTTTTTTTTCTTTTTTTTTTTTTTTGAGGCGGGATCTTGCTCTGTTGCCCAGGCTGGAGTGCAGTGGCACAAGCACAGTTCACTGCAGCCTTGACCTCCCAGGCTCAAGCAATCCTCCTAGGTCAGGCTCCAGAGTAGTTGGGATTACAGGTATGCACCACCATGCCTGGCTAATTTTTTTTGAAAAGATGGGGGTCTGTGTTGCCCAAGCTACTCTTGAACTCCTGATCTCAAGCAATCCTCCTGCTTCAGCTTCCCAAAGTGTTGGTATCAGGTGTAAGCCACTGCCCCTGACAGCTTTTTTTTTTCTTTTGTCTCTATTACTGGTTCCCCCACCCTTTTTTTGTAGTAACATTTTTGATACTCTTTTCTTTTTGTCTATACTCTAGATTTTTTTGCAGTTATGAGGATTACATCTTAATATCATAACAATCTAATTTGAATTCTAGCCCGATTAACTACTCTAGCGAATATTTCAATTCAGGTATTGTATATTTCCGCTCTGGAATTCGTTTTGCTCCTTTTCTATCTCTTTGTTGAGATTCTCATTTTGTTCACATATCATTTTCCTGACTTCCTTTGGTTCTCTGTTTTCCTTTAGCTTGTTGAGCTAATCAGCAGGCGTGTTCTGAGCCTTGGGAGCAGGCTGGGTGACAGCTTAAAGTCCTGCAGCTTTTCCCAGACATGCTAACCTTTCCCCATGTGAGCGCTGTATTAAGTGAAACGGACACTTTCAGGAAGTCCCCAGATGAGTTAGAATGCTGGAAATAAGTACTGCTCTATTCCCTCCGGTTAAGGGAGGGAACTGAACACTACTGAAAAGTGCTGGTTTTCACTGAGATGAGAAGTTTATACTATATATAAATAGCACTGCTTTCTTCGTTTAGAAAGACTTGCTACAAAAAAAAGTCAACTGAATTAAATCAATTGTGTTCTTACGGATAGAGCTCATTTTCATTTTGATGTAAATGCCTTATCTCATTGTGGACAAGCAAGAAACCCCACTGCTCATCTATAAACCACACCAACTAGCGCTGTTTCAGAGCACTTTTAATATTACCTTACTTGAACTTTTCACGGACTATTTTCCCCATAGTTGCAGAAATAAGAAAGGAACATGGGAAACACAGCACTGATTATTTTTAGTAAGGACTACTTTTTTTCTATCTCATAAGTCAAAAGGTGTTTCATGTAACAGAACCTCACTTTTTTGCCTTTTAAAAGCAAAGTAAAAATAGAACATAGCTAAATTCAGCTGTTAGGTAAGTTATTTCATCTTCTCAGACTTAATGATTTATTATACATGTATCAAAAGATGAGAATAGTATTTGTTATAAGTTAACCATTATGTAGTTATTTTATATGACATGATTCATGATATAGCCAAACCTAGGTAAAACCTACACTGGAATGGAGTTCAACTATACTTATTACTTTAAAGTAGATATTACGATAATTCTGACTCTTTGTGGACTTAACATGAATATCTTTTCTAACTTGAAACACAATCCTTCTCCCTAAAAAGCACTGAAATGTAAAAGTGTACATCAATCTATAGGTAAAATATTCAATTCTTAATTTGAAGTGCTTAGCCCAAAACAATTTCTTTTAGAAATAAGCCTATTATGAATTGAAAAGACCAACTTACAAAATTTGAGAAATTTTCTTTTTCAGATTTGAGAGCTTATTTCATCTGTGATTTGTCTTGCTTTGTATAATCAACAGTTAGGTGCCACCTCCTGTTTCAGTCAATGTCAGACTGGTGGTGGTCCTGTCAGATTAAAATACTCTATACTGTTAATCTTTTTCTATGTTTAGATACGTACATACATCGTTAGCGTTGTGTTATAATTGGTTACAGTAGTCACTACCATAACATGCTGTATAGGTTTGTAGTCTGGGAGCAATAGGCTGTATCATATAGCCTAGGTACGTAGCAGGCCATGCTATCTAAGTTTGTGTAAGTACACTCTATGATGTTCCCACAACAACAAAATCTTCTCATGATGATGCATTTTCCTGTCACTAAGCAACATATAACTAATTTCAACAGAATAGTGCTACAACAGAAGTTCAACAAGGCCTCAAAAAGCACAAGATGGAGGACTTCCACTCCTTTTGGCTGCTCTTTTTAATTAACATCTGCTTGTATATAAGTTATTTACAGTAAGGCATTCTTGTCAGTCTTCCTGAATTGAAATTTATAGTTAACTTAAGGCTACATTTACACAGAAAGTAAATTTTAAAGTCCTCAAATTGAAGAAAGGAAGCCAAAGAACTTTACTGGTCTACTACGGTTAATTTTGTAAAACTTCATTAAAGAGGTTGAATAATATTAAGGACATTAGGAGTACAGGACTATGAAATCTATTTTATTCTGATAAATCTGGTAATTTGTGGTACTCTGTTAACTCATTCCTTTTTCTCTAAGTTATCCAATATTGTTCCCACTAAAACATTAACTTTTACTATAGTAAAAATAAGCACTGACAAGAGAAGAGATTGGTCCTTGTGTTACTATCTGGATTAAGACGTAATTTTTTCAATTATGCTTTCTCCTAGCAATATTTCATAATTCTGTCTTCCTTATCAAGTGATTTATAATTACTTAATCATGATTTGGTGTATACATGTTTGGGTATTACACTGTTTTTCCTTTTTGAGACAGGGTCTTGCTCTGTTGCCCAGGTTCAAGTACAGTGGCGCAAGCACAGCTCATTGCAGCCTTGACCTCCAAGGCACCAGGGATCCTCCCACCTCAGCCTGCTGAGCAGCTGGGACCACAGGCATATGCCACCACTCCTGGCTTTTTGATTTTTAGTAGAGACAGGGTCTTGCCATGTTGCCCAGGCAGGTCTCAAATTCCTGGGTTCAAGAGATCCTCTCACTTCCCAAAGTGCTGGGATTACAGGCATGCACCGCTGTGCCCAGTTTGTAACTTTCTTAACAGGAATCCAGTCATTCAATAGTTTGGTCCATTGGGCTCTGCATATAAGCTGTTCAGTTTTCAGTTATATGTACTTAGGTGATATGGAATTTACATGTAGCAGTCAACACATGGCTATGTAAAGGTATTTAGATTCTTTTAAGCTGCAGCAGTAAGATTTCATTTATATACACACACATACATATATTAGTTTATAAATTACATATATGTGTTGGTTTACCATTTGTAACTTTTCCACACTCTCACCCTGTAATAACCATTTTATTTTATTTTATTTTATTTTTGAGACAGAGTCTCGGTCTGTCACCCAGGCTGGAGTGCAGGGGCACAATCTCCGCTCACTGTAACCTCAGCTCCTGGATTCAAGCGATTCTCCTGTCTCAGCCTCCTGAGTAGCTGGGATTATGGGAACCCACCACCATGCCCAGCTAATTTTTGTATTTTTAGTAGAGACTTCATAAAACGTTACCTAAAAAGTTTTTTAAAAATCATCAATGGTCACAAAATCTGAGTAGATGAAAGTGCTGAACTTAATTCTCAGTATTTCCAAAATACTTGTGTTGGAACAAAGGCTAGTCAGAAGGAACTTCCGAGTTCACTTTAAAAATGGGTAAAAATACCTACTTTCCCAGCGAATCAACCAAATTCTCCCTTTAGTATTTGAATACTGCATAAAAGATCAAGAACCCATGTGTGAACTAGGATTCACCATAAGTAATGTAAATAGTCTAAAGCATTAATTAACATAGTTCATTAAGCTCACAGCTTTGTATTACCACACCATATTTTTAAATAGGAGAAAGTCTCAAGTACCATTATTCTAATAACTACCTTTTTTCTTTGTTGAGACGGAGTCTCACTTTGTCACTCAAGCTGGAGTGCAATGGCACGATCTTGGCTCACTGCAACCTCTGCCTCCAGGGATCAAGCGATTCTTCTGCCTCAGCCTCCCAAGTAGCTGGGACTACAGGTGTGTGTGTACCACCACACCCGGCTACTATTTGTATTTTTAGTAGAGATGGAGTTTCACCATGTTGGCCAGGCTGGTCTCAAACTCCTGGCCTCAGGTGATTCACCCGTCTCAGCCTCCCGAAGTGCTGGGACTGCAGGCGTGAGACACTGCGCCTGGCTTATAATAACTTTGTAACCATAGTAAAGTATGTTAGAGCTCTCTTTGAAGGAAATAAATTTTGATTGATTAAATATCTGAAACTTCAGAAAGCCTAAGTTTTTCTTCCTGAACCATGTGACATTAGTGTGAGTGGAAACCAAGAGTATAAACCTAAGCCCTATATACTAAAGAAATATAGCATAAGTTAACTTGTTACTGCCATGTCATACATTCAGATTTAAATACGAAAACACCACACAGAAAACAAACTTTTTTTAAAAAAAGATTTAAGATCATAAATAGGTCATTGTTGTCACAGCACATTTCAGAATTTTAAAAAGACAAACATTTGGCTTTCTAAGAAAAAGACTAAAAAAAAAAAAAATCAATTCCTCATCACTGAAAGGACTTCTACATTTTAAACTTCCAGTCTCCTAAGGCACAGTATTTAATCAGAATGCCAATATTACCACCCTGCTGTAGCAGGAATAAGAGGCAAGGTATTAGCACTAAGAAAAACAGCAAAATTTCTGGACAAAATCATCTGTCATTTTAAAAAAGGGAGAAAAAAAACAGACTAAGTGGTGAGCATTTTAGTGAAGAAGGCCCAGTGCTGTTATGCAGGACTTTCTATTTAAAAAAAAAAAAGAAATCGAAGTATTTTTAACTCAAGCACATTTAATTCACCACAGAAGAGCTATGAGAAAAGAGAGGGGGTTGGAAAAAATACAGTATACTTTCTTTAAAAAGGACTTGGGAGGAAAAAAATCAACTTAGAAGATCTTATGAAAGGGCAAACATCACATGGAACCCAGTTAGTGTCCTAGTTTATTACTAGTCTTCAGGCAAATCCAGAAAAGAGAATAAGATACTAGGTAAACACAACACCTAGACACATCTGTAAGGCATTTGTTTCCTATCACATGGCCCATTAGAGCTTAACACCCACCAACTGAGATGTAGTGAAATGCTAAAATTGGATGCTCAAATTATATTTTTATCCAACCAAAAAGTCCTTTAAATATAAAATTAGAAATTCCTCACTTTAACTCTGCCTTGTCTTCTGTGATACCAACTGTACTTTAAGGTTTTACATTTGCAATGTGGTGATTTAGGTTAATTTTAAAAGAAAAATCCACAAAGTGTCCACAGATGAAACATGGGATGAGGTTCCTGACTGAATCAATCATGGAGTGTTAGTCAATTGTAAACTCTTGAAAGTTAAGACGAGGAAATGTGTGTATCAGACACAGAGTACAATAGGAGAGGAAGGGAAGCCTGTTTGTCATTCCAATTCCGACAAGGTGCAAGGTCTTCGAAATTCTTGTCCACGTTCATGGAGCCATTTATTGGATACTGTGAGAGAAAAGTTATATATAAATTTTCCCCATCTAATTAGTATTTAGTTTCTAACAGCTAGGTCTATAACAAAGTTTCAACATGGGATAAAAGTTCAACACCAAAACCAGATAAAGGCAGATGCTATTTAAAAACGTGGCTAAATGCTTTAAACACAAGATTTTATATATCTATGTACATATGTGTACACATTTATGTGTGTTTATGTACGTACATGTATACATGTGTGTATATTTCCAAGTCTATGTGCATTTCTTAAAGTTTCCAATGATCAATGTGAGGCTTGAAATGAGACACAAATGGACTTAAGATACAGGTACAGACAGAGCAGAATATTGCTTTATGTACTGTTTTCAAAGTACAACCTCCAAAATACAAAGACATTTTAATAATGAACACAAACTTTCTACTCTAAAGGAAAAACTTTCGGATTAACCATTGCTATTATATGCTCATTAAGTTTCCAAAATACCTTTAAAAAATGTGTATCATATAAAAATGTATCCCAAAAGGCATTAATTTTCTATTTTTTGTGTGTGTCTCCGGTACCATAGAACCCATTCAAAATATCAAAGAACTTCCTTAATTCTTAACTCCTTTTTCCTCTTACAACCCTGTATCTACTCTTTATTCATCAAACCCCGACAATTTTCCTTGTATCTCTCTCGAATTTATTTGCTCTCCAACCCTTTCACTGATGCTTTCATCCATGCTATTATCTCCCCTTTAGCAAGGAAAACAGCTTTCTAAACTCTCTCTCACCAACTAGCCTCTCCTCATTCTAGTCCAGTGGTTCTTAAATACTATAATAATGAGGGGAGATTTTTAAATCCTGATCAGGCCTCACTCCTTAAACTTGTTATGTCCTGTATGTAACCACTAAACATGTGGCTAGTAACACAGATTAAAATGGACACATGGGGCTAATTAACATATATTAAAACTAAATTCACCTGTTTTCTACTTTTTTAAAAGGTGGCCAGTCCTGCAGTCGCGTGTCCCCAAGAGTGAATGCCTCTTTAAATTCTTCACACTAGGTGCTACTCAAGCCTCACATTAGGACCTGGTATCTAACATGTTTCGAAAACTGCTGTTTTAACTTCAGAACCAAATTAAAAAAATAAACTTTGAAGAAGACTCCCCAAACTTAGGCAGTCATCATCTTCTGTTTATACTTTTGTATTAATATGTACTACACTATAATCCATTAGTATGTCTAATAAGATTATTAACCATTTGAGGGGAAAATACTGTCTTATTCAATTTTGAGTCAGTGTTTCTTGGAATAAGTGGAAATAAGAGTTAAAAACAAAATTTGTCATAAAAATTCTGATTATAAATTAAGATTAGGCAGTTATTTGGTTGTATTCTGTACAGTGTTAAAACCATATTAAGCAAATATGTGGGAGCTTTTGTTTATAAGACACAGATTATAATGGGTTTTAAAATACGAAACAAAAATCACATTCTCTTCACAGAAAATATGAAATATTTACCCCATTTGTTGCCAACTAGCACTGGACAGGCTGCATGCCGTGTACTATAATCTCCTTCTCCACTGGCAAATAGATTATACCAGAAAACAGCAGTTCCCTATGGAGAACAATTCAAAATTATCCCCAAATATACAATGCCAGGTTATCTCTTTCAGTAGTTGTTTGTTTGAGACAGAGTCTTGCTCTATGGCCCAGGCTGGAGGTGCAATGATGCGATCTCAGCTCACTAGAACCTCCATCTCCCAGAGTCAAGTGATTCTCCTGCCTCAGCTTCCCGAGTAGCTGGGATTACAGGTGCCCGCTACCACACCAGGCTAATTTTTGTATTTTTAGTAGAGACAGGGTTTCACCGTGTTGACCAGGCTGATCTCGAACTACTGACCTCAGGCTATCTGCCTGTCTCGGCCTCCCAAAGTGCTGGGATTACAGGCATGAGCCACCGTGCCTAGCCGCTTTCAGTAGTTCTTAATTTTCCTTTGTTCCTGCAGAAGAACAATTCTATAGCAGCATTTTATCTTCCAATATAATTCTGAAAATATGATTCTACCATTTTAAAAACCTTTTTGATCATATAAAAAATACCATAAAAATGCTTGACAACAAAAGTATTTGCAAAAACAAAGCTAACAAATTCGCTCTTGTTACCCAGGCTGGAGTGCAATGGCGCGATCTCGGCTCACCGCAACCTCCGCCTCCTGGGTTCAGGCAATTCTCCTGCCTCAGCCTCCTGAGTAGGTGGGATTACAGGCAAGCGCCACCATGCCCAGCTGATTTTTTGTATTTTTAGTAGAGACGGGGTTTCACCGTGTTGACCAGGATGGTCTCGATCTCTTGACCTCGTGATCCACCCGCCTCGGCCTCCCAAAGTGCTGGGATTACAGGCTTGAGCCACCGCGCCCGGCAAAGCTAACAAATCTTACATAGCAAGACAGAGGAGAAAACACCATATAGAACCCATTTTAAAAATGAAAAATTTTAAATACTAATTCCTGGTCATTCATTACCTCTAAGTACTCGTGGCAAGGACCATAAAAATACCAGAACTTTTACCTAGCAATAATGTTGTACTTAAGTACACTACCTTTAAAAATGTAATTTGGGCACAGGGGCTCATGCCTGTAATCCCAACATTTTGGGAGGCTGAGGTGGGAGGATCACTTGAGCCCATGCGTTCAAGATCAGCTTGGGCAATAGAGAGAGACACTGTTTTAAAAATTTAAACATTAGCTGGGCATTGTGATGTGCACCTGTAGTCTCAGCTATCTGGGAGGCTGAGGCTTGAACCCAGGAGGTCAAAGCTGCAGTGAGCCATGTTTGCACTGCTGCACTCCAGCCTGGGCAACAGTGAGAACATGATGTCTCAAAAAAAGAAAAGAAAAAGAAAAAACTGTAATTCATTAATTAGACCATGAATAAAAATGCATTCTTTCCTGAGGGAAAAAATTAATAAACCAAAAACAAACCAAACAAGCTTACTTTTTTGGGCCACACACTAGCTCCAACTTCAGGAAAAACAGTGGCTCCTCCTGCAGACACATCACTCATCTATAAAAAAAACAGAGTATTATCAAACGTGCTGGTAAAATAAAGTAAAACTGCCGTAATAAAGACTTGATATTGGATACTAGAATATTGGGAACAAAAGGATTTGTTCCTGGATACTAGAATATTGGGAACAAAAGGATTTGTTCCCAAGGTTCTGTACATGTTACTCAGTTTTTCAAAAGTAAAACAAAATGCCATTTAGGTTTATATACATAAGTAGAAAAAACTACAAAAAGCAAAGGAATGATTAACAAAAAACTGTCGGGAAGGGAGAATGGGGATACAATTTGGGATAGGCACTTATTAATAGCCAGAGGGAAAAGAAATGACTAAAACTAATAAATCAATACAGAGATATAAATATGTATTTTATGTACTAGAATGTAATCTCCATGGAGGCAGGGATTTTCATGTTTTGTTCACTGCTGATCATTAATGTCTAGAACAGTACCCTCAAGAACTGTAGGTGCTCAAGAAATAAATGTAAAATAAAAATAATGAGAATAATAAAATCAGTTTTGCCATTTCTCATGGTAGGGAATCAAACATATTAAATAAAAATGAGAAAATTAAATGATTATATAAAGTTATAGTCATAAAAGATAACTTAGAATAAACATGGAAACCTTTTATTTTGTTTTGTTTTTGAGACAGAGTGTCACTCTTGTTGCCTAGGCTGGAGTGCAATGGTGCAATCTTGGCTCACCACAACCTCGGCCTTCCAGGTTCAAGCGATTCTCCTACCTCAGCCTCCCAAATAGTTGGGATTACAGGCATGCACCACGAAGCCTGGCTAATTTTGTATTTTTAGTAAAGACGGGTTTTCTCCATGTTGGTCGGCCTGGTCTTGAACTCCTGACCTCAGGTGATCTGCCCACCTCAGCCTCCCAAAGTGCTAGGATTACAGGTGTAAGCCACCGAGCCTGGCCAACAGGAAAACCTTTTAAATTAAGGTTTTAAGATCACATAAAACAAGGCAAAGGACATAAGGATCATACAGTAAAGATTTTTTTAAAGCAACATAAGTAGAATGTACAGACTGATTATATCACAGGGCACAATCCAACTATTTGTTATAAGTGACTTACACAGAAAACAAAACAGTAATATTTGGGGCAAATGCTTTCCAAGGAAAACAGGGTATGATCTTAATATGAGACACAGTTTAAATCAAGGTAAAAAGCATTAAATGAGATGAAAGGTATTTTACAATGATAAATATATGATTAGTAATAAACAGATAAGAACATTTAACCAATGAAAAAAATTAACTGAGGAAATTAAGAGTTTGTGAATGACAGGAAAAGTAATTTTAGATATTTTATGTGCCCCATTTGGCAATAGTATTTAAATAATGGAAAAAATAATTAAAATGCTATATAACTATTTCAAGAAGGGTGTGTACATTAAGAGGGAGAAATGAATAATCTAACAATCTAATAGTCAATCTAACATACATGAATAGTGGGCCAAATAATACAGCATTAATATCCATAAAACAAATATAAGGAGAACGAAGAACATGTAAACCCTAATGGCTTTTAAACATCTGAAAAGATGCTCAACCTCTCTAATAAGAGAAATGCAGCTGAAAGCCACAATAACTGCTAATTTGACAAGATACACAAATCAAAAAGTCTGACAAACATACTTCACAAATATATCCCACTAAAAATTGGGATATATATTGGTACAGACTCTGAGACTCACTTCTAGAAAATATGCAAGCCTTTGCAGCATGAATTTCTATACTGTACTAACCTTCTCCTGGTTTTCCCTTTGTGATATTTCTCTTTTTTATATGAATCTTCATAATGTATCTTACATCCTTTTGGAAACAAGATGGAGTTGTGAGAGGAATACAAATTGGGAAGGAGGGAGAAAGGGAGGCAGGGAAGAAGGGAAAGAAGAAAAAAGAAACGGGGAAGGTAGCAGGGAGAGAAGAAAATAGATTGAGCAGAGAGATTTGGTAGGGAGTGAGATACTGCAGACAGCAAAAAAGATTTAATTCAAATAGGGGCAAAGGATAGAAAACGCAATGAAATAACCAAAATTAAGTCTAGATTTAGATATAAAATATCTTTTTGTTGTTGTTATTGTTACCCAGGCTGGAGAGTGCAATGGTGTGATCTCGGCTCACGGCAACCTCTGCCTCCAATCCTTGTTCAAGCAATTCTCGTGCCCCAGCCTCCCAAGTAGCTGGGACTAGAGGCCCGCGCCATCACATCCGGCTAATTTTTGTATTTTTAATATAGACAGGGTTTCACCACATTGGTCAGGCTGGTCTGGAACTCCTGACCTCAAGTGATCTGCCTGCCTCGGCCTCCCAAAGTGCTGGGATTACAGGCGTGAGCCACTGCGCCTGGCCTAAAATGTCTTTTTTAAGTTAACAAAGTTTATGACATTACGGCAGATTGCATTTCCCAAATATAATACATCCCAATATGGCCAGGTGCAGTGGCACACGCCTGTAATCCGAGTACTTTGGGAGGCCGAGGCAGGTAGGTCACGAAGTCAGGAGTTCAAGACCAGCTTGGCCAACATGTTGAAACCCCGTCTCTATTTAAATGAATGAATGAATGAATGAATGAATGAGAATACATCCCAATATGTCCCATCCTACATGTGTTTATATGACACTGACATTTGTCTGCAGTGTCAGGGTCTATGTGCCCTCTCTCTGAAGTGGGGCAGATCTTTGTCACTGCTGTAATAGAATACAGCAGAAATGACATCTGTGACTTCTGAGGGTATGTCACAACAATATCATGTGCTTTTACATTGTTCTTTTGGGATGCTTGCTCTTACAATCCAGTCACTATGCTGTGAGGAAGCTCAGCCACATGTATTGGCCAGAATTTAGGCATTCTGGCTGACAGCCAGCCTCAATCTTAGCCTTCAAGATACCCCAGTGCCAGGCAGTTGATGGCAAATGCATGTCAGATTTGAAGCAGGCACCATGAGTTGGGTCCAGTCAACCTCACAACTGTTAAGAGATTCATTAAAAAAATGATTGTTGTTATTTTAAACCATTCAGAAAAGAGTTTTGGAGTGATTTATTTGGGGTAACTAGAACAAACACTATAATCAAAACTTTTTTCCATATATATAAACGTAAACAATTTTGAAAATTGAATTATGATCATACTGTTTTAAAACTTCAAGGGGTTAGGGCTTCTGGGGGCTGTAATGTGCTATTTCTTGATCTTAGTACTGAATACACCAGAAGTGTTCACTTTGTGAAAATTAAAACACTTAATTTGTGCACTCTTCTGATATACTTCAATAAAAAAAGTAATTAAGTTTACTGAAATGTATATGTGTATGCACAGAAATTCATAGAGATTCTTATATACACATATATGACTAAACAGCCTACATGCCAAAATATTGATTGTCTGAAAGTACTATCAATTCTAAGTCCGTCCAAGTTTCTATAATAAATATCGAGCTTACAGCCTGAAAAAGCTGCAAATGCAAACAAATTCTTAACTCCCTTTACTCAGTTGTAAAAATGGTAAATAGGATGCTAAATTAGAGCTACACAGAACAAACACCACATTAAAATGAGTCATGTGATCAAATCCCAACTTAACCTAAAAATTTTAGCCACAACTTACATAAAACAGCCATGTAGCAATTCTATTTCCTGTCCCCAGCTCTTTGAAAGCATCTGGCTCATCTTTCTGTGAATAAAAACAGAGCAAATTCAATGGTGTAAAAATTCAGTAATACAAATACTCTAGTGGCAACTAAACATCAGTAGTAATATCCTGAATAATGTGCCAAAAACAACCCCAAAAGTTTCCCTTGTAATGTCCAGGGCACTATAAATATCAGGCGCTCTTTTTGTAGAGATGGAGTCCTGCTATGTGGAGCAGGGGGGTCTTGAACTCCTGGCCTCAAACAATATTCCTGCCTTTGCTCCCAGTGTGCTAGGATCACAGGCATGAGCCATCGCCCCACCTCGCCTCAAATAATTGCTGACTGAACTTGTATACTGGATACTTTAGACAAGATTACTGAATAAAAATCAGACTTACTAGCCTAAACAACAGCCATTATCTGCTAACTACAGATTTTTAAAAAATTAATACCTACAATTTTAGCTTCCAAAAAAATAAGATATGAGAGCAACCTCTCAGCTACATTCCTGAAGCTTATTTCCTGTGGTTAAAAAATTTACATTGAGACTTACTTTGAACTCATGACCTACTCAAGTGTTTCCTAGTATTTTTCTTTTCTTTTCTTTTTTTGAGACAGAGTCTTGCTCTTTCGCCCAGGCTGGAGTGCCGTAGCACGATCTCGGCTTACTGCAACCTCCGCCTCTGGGGTTCAAGCAATTCTCCTGCCTCAGCCTCCCAAGTAACTGGTACTATCGGTGTGCACCACCATGCCTGGCTTATTTTGTATTTTTAGTAGAAACAAAGTTTCACCATGTTGGCCAGGCTGGTCTTGAACTCCTGACCTCAAGTAATCTGCCCACCTCAGCCTCCCAAAGTGCTGGGATTACAGGCATGAGCCACCATGCCTGGACCCTAGTATTATTTTTCTAATAATGCCAGTAAAGTGACTTTCAGCACTTCCATCAAGCTAGAGAGTTAATATCTAGATATTTATATCTAAATTAAAATACAATACAAGCTCTTGGCATTTCTCCCAGAAAAATGAAAATGTGCTTTTCACGCAGAAATGTATACACATCTTTATTTGTAATAGCCAAAAACTAAAAACTATCTAAATGTCCTCGATGGGTGAATGGCTAAACTGTGATATATCCATAACATGGAATACAGGTTGAGCATACCAAAAATAGAAAATCCAAAATGCTCCAAAGTTCAAAACTTTTTTAGTGCTAACATGACACAAATGGAAAATTCCACACATAGTGCTCCCTAAAGTAGCTCCCCATACACACTATGCCCTACCCAGGACGGAAACAGACAGTTGTAAGGCTCCTGCATCACAAGAGATTTCTTTTCTTTTTTTTTTTTTTTTGAGACAGGGTTTCACCTTGATGGTCAGACTGGTCTCGAACTCCTGACCTCAGGTAATTCACCCGCCTTGGCCTCCCAAAGTGTGGGATTATAGGCGTGAGCTACCACACCCGGTCAAGAGATTTATTTTCAAACCCATTCTTTCTTCATTGAAGGTATAATCCTTGTGGAGATTTAAATTTTATTCCAGGGTCTCAAATTCAGCAGCCTACACTGTGGCACATACTCTTACAGAGCTGTTAATTCCCAAAGCTGTAGTTCCTGGAGGCATGTGCCTCCAGCCTCTGCGTTTTGTCCCCTCTTTAATTCTCTAGGTTTGGGATCATCTTTGTTCAGTTTGCCTGTTGGAATACCCTTTACTCTCTTCCAGGCTTGCCAATGCATTTAAAAGTATCTTAAGTAATTGTATTGGGTATCTTGGTGGGTGTTTTTTTTTTCTTTTTTACTTCACAGAATATCTGCCACACCATATTTCCACAAATTCCAAATAGGCTATGACGTTTTAATGTTAAAAACAGAATTAACATGTTGACAAAGAACCTCTCCTTTATCCTCAACTAGACCCTGAGTTTGGGCTTCTGGTATTTATCTCTGCACTGTCCAATTTGAGCAAGAACGCTGCTAAGTCAGGTTAGCCAGAATCCCCCGTCTTTGCCATGTGATCATCCTCAAAATCTAACTGGGTTCATCTTCCACTATCCCCTGGGTGATGATCACCCTGCCCTGACTTCAGCAAGAAACCTGTTAGGTCAGTTTAGCTAGAATCCTTCCTTTACCTCTTAGTAATTTTCCATCTACTAACACCCACCCTTGCTCACTGGCTATAAATTCCCACTTTTCCTTGTTGTATTTAGAATTGGGCTTAATCTCTCTCCCTTACTGCAAAATCCCACTGCAGCTGCAGTGGTCTCTATACCTATTGCAATAGTACCCCCTTGAATGAAGTCTGCCTTACCATCTTTAACAAGTGTCAAGAATAAATTTTTCTTTAACAATGTAATGCATAAGCCTCAGTGAATTTCTTTTCTTTCTTTCTTTCTTTTTTAACTTACCCGTGCAAAGTCAAAATGGGGTTCATACTGTCCTCCAACTCCATAATTTGCTACCTGGAGGAAAGACACAGAGCATGAAAGAACTATGAAGATTACTATTCCAAAAAATCGACAAGATCATGGTCAGGTATTTACAGAGAAATGAAAAGTATTTAAAATCAATGAGGCTGGGCACAGTGGCTCATGCCTGTAATCCCAGCACTTTGGGAGGCCAAGGAGGGCGGATCACAAGGTCAGGAGTTCAAGACCAGCCTGGCCAACATGGAGAAACCCTGTCTCTACAGAAAATACAAAAATTAGCCGGGCACGGTGACAGGCGCCTATAGTCAGATACTTGGGAAGCTGAGGCAAAAGAATTGCTTGAACCTGGGAGGTGGAGGTTGCAGTGAGCCGAGATCACGCCATTGCACTCCAGCCTGGGCAACAAGAACAAAACTCCGTCTCAATAAAAAACAGAACAAAAATCAATGAGAGTTCCTATGAAAACAGGGATGAAAAACTAAGGATAGCTACTATATTATAACATATATTATATATTTTCCCCAATCCCCCACTCTCCCACCAGACAGAGGGTCTCAGACTGTCACCCAAGGCTGGAGTGCAGTGATACAATCATAGCTCACTGCAGCCTCAACCTTTGGGGCACAAGCAATCCTCCCACTTCAGTCTCCTGAGTAGCTGGGACTACAGGTGCAGGCTACCACAACCAGCTAATTTTTAAAAATTTAATACATAAGCTAAAATTTGAGATTCCTATTATTTTGTTTCACTAAACACTTTCCTTTGGAACTTAAATCAAAAAATATTTTCCAAAGCCCCAAATGCTGGCAAACTCCCAATCTACTTTAATAAAATCCCTTTTCTTTCATATTTTTTCCCTGCTAAAAAAGGGAAGAAGTTAATACCAATTGAATTACTCCTGTCAAAGAGTCCTAACAGCTTCAGTTGGTTATGACAATGTCCCAGTGTGACAAGCAAAATGTAAGAAAAATATTTGGTCTGTGTTCAAGTTCCAGCTCTCTTAATTACAATGTAGGTAACTTTGGATATAATCTCAGTTTTCTTATTTGTTAAAATGAGGAGAAGGATACTTAACTCTTTCCCCCAATCACACAACACAATAAAATGCTGACAAAAATCAAAGGAGAACATAATTAAGAGTGTTATTGATGAAACCAGAAGGAGAATATTGGTAGAACTGGAACTACTACTAGAGTGTGTCTTGCTCTGGGGGCCAGTAGCCACAGCACCCCTTCACCCCTGAAGCTAAGGCAGAAATGGAGGCCTACCTGGAGGCCTGACATTCCCAAGCAGAGCTGCCAGCAGTTGTTACACCCTTCCCAGTGGGGCGAAGAGAAGTAGAACTGCTCTACCTACCCTTCCCCCAACTCCATGAGGCAGGAGCTGCAGCTGTGCACTCCCCTTCCAAGAAAACAATATTTTGGCAGAACCCTGCATCCCAGGGTTCTGGGCCACTCAGAACAGTCACATCCCCTGGGCCTGAGCTGAAGCAGCACATTACCCTTAGGGAATTGGTGCACTGGCCAAGCTGAGCAGCTGCACATCCCAGGGCTGAAGTAGTACCCAGAGACCCAGGGAAACAGAGCAATGGCTAAGCTGAGAAATGTGCCCTTCAGGACAAATAACTCTAATACCCTGCTTCCCTGGAGAGTCTGTACGGCTGAGACACTTTCTGGGGAGTGAAGTCATTGCTGTGCTGCTCTCTGCCCCACAGGGCCGAAAAAACAAGCATGCTTGGTCATTCTGGGGTACTTGTTTCCACTGGACCTGGCCTGGCCTCATAGAGTCTGGGATCCGTCTGAGCCCCACCAATCCAGGTTCTAGAGTGACCACTACATGGTGCCTCATCCCCAGGGACTAGAGTTGCCACTAAGCCCTACTGGCTCAGGCCCCTAAATTATAGTCATACCCTGCATCCCAGACTCAAACCTCCAGAGCACCCTCTCTTCCCTGGAGTTGGGCTAGGGCTGTGTCCTGTCCTCCAGGGGTAGAATCACAGCTAAAACCCGACCCTCTTTCCCCAAACAGCTAGAGGGTGCCTCAGTCACAGATCCTGGAGCTATGGGCAACCTACATCCAACCCTGCCACAGAGAGTGAACCTGTACCTCAGGACCCAGATGTTACAATAAGTATGCGAGACCTTGAGGCCAGGATCCTGGCCCCATAGCCACTCCAAACGCATGCACCTGGATTGCAGCACCATGGCAGCACATGTCAGACCTGCCACCAAGAAGAGCAGCTGCACATCCCAGGGGTGAAGTAGTACCCAAAGACCCTGCAGGATGAAATCTCGCTCTGTTACCAGGCTGGAGTGCAGTGGCGCAATCTTGGCTCACTGCAACCTCTGCCTCCCAGCTTTAAGGGATTCTCCTGCCTCAGCCTCCCGAGTGGCTGGGACTACATGTGTGTGCCACCATGCCTGGCTATTTTTGTTTTGTTTTGTTTTTGTATTTTTAGTAGACACGGGGTTTCACCATGTTGGCCAGGATGGTCTCAATCTCTTGACCTCATGATCCACCCACCTTGCCCTCCTAAAGTGCTGGGATTATAGGTGTGAACCACTGTGCACGGCCACGAATCAGAATTTCAACAAAGAAAGATATAAAAAAAGAACCAAACAAAAATCTTGCAGCTGAAGAATTCAATGAATGAAATTAAAAATACAATACAAAGCTGCACCAGCACACTTGATTAAGCAAAACAATCTCTGAACCTGAAGATATACTGCTTGATATTACTCAGAGGAGAAAAAAAAAAAAGGAAACCAGAATGAAAAAGGATAAAGACAGCCTACAAGACTTACAGGGCACTATTAAACATTTCTATTACAGGAGTTCCAAAAGGAGAAGAGAGAGTAAAAGGCATAGAAAACTTATTTAATAATAGCTGAAAACTTCCCAAGTCTGGGGAGAGATAAGGGTATCCAACTCCAGGAAGTTCGAAAGTCCCCAAATATATTTAACCGAAAAAGGTCTTCTCTGAAGCATATTTTAATCAAATTTTCAAGCATCAAAGACAAAGAATTCTAAGAACAGCAAGATAACTAGATTAACAAAGAAAAAAAGGAAGATGCAAATAAGCACAATCAGAAAGAACAAAGGTGACAGTACAACTGACCCCGAAGAAATATAAAAAGTCCCCAGAGACTATTATGAACACCTCTATGCACACAAACTAAAAAACATAGAAGAAATGGATAAATTCCTGGAAACACACAACCACCCAAGGTTGAACTAGGAAAAATTGAAACCCTGAACAGACCAATAAGGAGTTCTGAAATTGAATTTTAATTTAAAAAACCTACTAACCAAAAACAGCCCTGTACTACATGGATTCACAGCTGAATTTTACCAGACAAAGAAGAGCTAGTGCCAATCCTACTGCAATTATTCTGGAAAACTGAGGAGGAAAGACTCCTCCCTAACTCATTTTATGAAACCAGCATCATTCTAATACCACAACCCAGCAGCAAGATGATGAAAAAAGAACACTTCAGGCCGATATTCCTGATGAACACAGACACAAAAATACTCAACAAAATACTAGAAAACAAAACCTAGCAGCACATCAAAAAGTTAATTTACTGTAGTCAAGTAGGCTTTATTCGTGGGATGCTAGGTTGGTTCAACAGATGTAATTCACCACATAAATAGAATTTAAAAACATATGATCATCTCCATAGATGGAGAAAAGGCTTTCAAAAAAATTTAACATCCCGGCCAGGCACAGTGGCTCACACCTGTAATCCCAGCACTTTGGGAGGTCAAGACAGGTGGATCACCTAAGGTCAGGAGTTCAATCCCAGCCTGGCCAACATGGTGAAACCCTGTCTGTATTAAAAATACAAAAATTAGCTGGACATAGTGGCAGGGGCCTGTAATCCCAGTTACACAGGAGGCTAAGGCAAGAGAATTGCTTTAACCTGGGAGGCAGAGGTTGCAGTAAGCCGAGATCACGCCACTGCACTCCAACCTGGGCAACAGAGTAAGACTTCATCTCAAAATAATTTTTTTTAAAAAGAAATAAAAGATATTAACAAGGATGAAGAGCATGCTCATACACTGCTGGTGGAAATGTAAATTAGTACAATCACTATGGAGAACAGCATAGAAGTTCCTTAAAAAACTAAAAATAGATCTACTATATGATCCAGCAATCCCAATGCCAAGAATATATCTGAAAGAAAGGAAATTAGCATGATAAAAAGATATCCACATTCTCATGTTTACTGCAGGACTATTCACAATAGCCAACATATGGAATCAACCTAAGTGTCCATCAACAGATGAATGGATAAAGAAAATGTGGCGCTTATAGATAATGAAACACTATTCAGCCATAAGAAGAATGGAATCTTGTTACTTGTGGAAACATGGATGAAACTGGAGTTCATTATATTAAGCAAAATAAGCCCAGCACAGAAAGACAAATATCACATGTTCTCATTCACATGTGGGAGATAAAAATATTGATCTCATGGAGGCAGAGGGTGATGGTTACCAGAGCTGGGAAGGGTGGGTGGGATGGGCAAAAGCGGGGAGAATAAAGAAAGGTTGGTTAATGGGTATAAAAGTACAGTTGGATGGAAGAAATAAGTTCTAGTGTTCAATAGCACAGTAGGGTGACCAGAGTTTACTTTTATTTTTTGGAGGACAGCGTTTCACTCTAGCTGCCCAAGCTGGAGTGCAACGAATGGCTCGATCTTGGCTCACTACAACCTCCACCTCCTGGGTTCAAGCGATTCTCCTACCTCAGCCTCCTGAGTAGCTGGGACTACAGGCATGTGCCACCATGCCCAGCTAATTTTTTGTATTTTTAGTGGAGATGGGGTTTAACCATGTTGGCCAGGGTGGTCTCGATCTCCTGACCTTATCATCTGCCCAATTCAGCCTCCCAAAGTGCTGGGATTACAGGCGTGAGCCACCGCACCCGGCCAATTTATTATTGTATATTTAAAAATAGCTAGAAAAGATTTGAAATGCTCCTAAAAAAAACTGTTTAAAGTGACAGGTATCTTAATTACCCCGACTTCATCATTACAGATTTACACATGTATCAAAATATCACAAGTACACCATAAATATGTACAATTTTTATTAATAAAAAAAGATCATGTGTTCTGACAAAGATGGAGTAGGATGGCATCAAACCATATCACTGTAAAACACACAAAAAAATAAAGTTGTAAAACTTAATTAGAAAAAGGGAACTAACTGCTTTAAGAATACATTTTGGTCTTCTAATAAACTGACTATTATTTAAAGTTGAAAAGAGGCCGGGCACAGTGGCTCATGCCTATAATCCCAACATGTTGGGAGGCCAAGGCAGGCAGATCACTTGAGGCCAGGAGTTTGAGACCAGCCTGGCCAACATGGTGAAACCCCATCTCTACTGAAAATACAAAAATTAGCTAGGTGTGGTGGCATGTGCCTATAGTCCCAGCTACTCAGGAGGCTGAGGCGTGAGAATCACTTGAGCCCAGGGGGCAGAGGTCACAGTGATCCAAGATCGCACCACTGCACTCCAGTGTGACTGTCTCCAAAAAAAAAAAAAAAAAGTTGAAAAGCAGCAAAAATATCACCTTTCTAATGAACTTATGAGCTGCATACTGACTGCATCTGTCTTAGAATTTTGCAACCAGGCCAGGTGCAGTGGAGCATGCCTGTAAGCCAGCACTTTGGGAGGCCAAGGCAGGTGGATCACTTGAGGTCAGGAGTTCAAGACCAGCCTGATCAATATGGTAAAACCCTGTCTCTACTAAAAATACAAAATTAGCTGAATGTGGTGGTACATTCCTATAATCCCATCTACTAGGGAGGCTGAGGCAGTAGAATTGCTTGAATCGGGAGACAGAGGTTGTAGGGAGCTGAGATCACGCTACTGCATTCCAGCCTGAGCCACAGACCGACTCTGTCTCAAAAAATATAAATAAATAAATATTGCAACCAGAAAGGCTATAATAAAGGCATTGGTTAATAAAGGCATTGGGTTTTTTTTTAGTGCACATTTTGATTATTTCAAAAAATCTAATACAGAAAAGGGAACTCAAATATTTTAAAAAGTATTTTTCTACAGGACAATACTAAATAATAGTAAATAATGTCTGACAAAGGGAAAGACTAAGCTATTTCTTTTCTCTGGTTTATAGGCCTATGCTTAATTTTTTACTATTGAAACCAAATAAGATTATTATACACTGATTTTATGTTTATTCCCTATAACTAACATTCCTGTATGTACCAGTTTACTACACACATTTTGAATCAAGTTGTGATTATGATAGAGTGAAGAATTACTATTTCAGGACAGCTGCTTTTGATGACAAATGATTTGTAGACATAAGAGAAGTGATGAAAAAAGTCAGTCCTATGATTCATTATTAAAATAAAGGAAAACTAGTTGCTTTAAAAGAAAGAAAAAGAGAAATTATTTTTTAAAACCCATGCTGGCCACTTGACAGGTAAACTGAAGCCTGGGGATAGAAAAAAAAAAAATTACAGTGTACTAAGTGTTAGTGATATATATTTTTCATTTCCCTAGACATCTATATTTAACAGTAAGAGTTTTCATGTTTTGACAATTAATTTACAAGTAACACAATCATAATTTTCCCCATTAATTATCAAAACCACTTTGCATGGTTGCAGCTTACAGGGTCACTTTTTATGGTCCCAAACTATTATGCAAATTGAGGACTGCCTGTTCATTGTCAGGAAATCTCCTCTGAAGCATCTCTTGAAGTGTAAAAATGACTTAAGGATAATGTGATTACCTACCTGTAATTCCTCTGCTGTGGAAACATCTAGTCCTGTTAGATCTTGTATTCTCATATTAATTCGAGACACCACAGGGTTTTCATAGCCAGAGAGCCAGGCACTAAAAATAAGAAGAAAATATTAGTTTTACTGATAATGTTTCATTACATGGAGACTAACAGCTGTTATTATGAAAGGCACAATATTTAAAATATAGGACAATAAACCTTTACTGAAGGCATTTAGTTCATTTTCTTGTTTAGTATCATCTTTATTAATGGATACTATAATTTTTTTTTAAATGACATGTTCTGTTAGAGGTTAGAAAGAAAAAACTAACCTCATTTATTATAATGCTTCTATGAAAACAGTTGGATTAATGTAAGGAGGCTATATTGAAGGCCACTAACATTGAGAACTTAAAAAAAAAATCCTTAAAAAACCATAGCAAACAAAACAACTGTTCCTCCCAGGTAAGGTATAGGAACTGACTAGGGGAAAGTCATGGGGTCTTTAGCCTGATCTACATAATGCTAATATTTTATAAGAAAAAAGTTCTGCTTAAATTAAGTTTTGAAAAGGTACCCAAACATGCCTACTGAAGGATGGACAATAACAAGTGTTGGTAAGGATGTGAAGAAACTGGAGCCCTCATACATTGCCGATGGGAATGTAAAAGGTGCAGTCACTTTGGAAAACAGTTTCGTAGTTGCTCAAAATGCTAAACAGAGTTACCAAATGACCCAGCAATTTACTTGTAAGTATATGTCCAAGATAAAATTTTATGTCCATACAAAAACTTGTACAGAAATGTTATGGCAGCATTACATATGATAGCCAAAAAGTAGAAACAACCCAAATATCCATCAATTTATCAATGGATACCTAAAATATGGAATTATGTACGAACTGGAATATTGTGTCACAAAAAGGAATACAGTACTGACAGGCACAGTGGCTCATTTCTGTAATCCCAGCACTATGGGAAGCCAAGGTGGAAAGGTCACTTGAGGCCAGGAGTTTGAGACAAGCCTGGGCAACACAGTGAGACCCCAACTCTACAAAAAATTTTAAAAATTAGTTGGGCATGGTGGTATGCACCTGTAGTTTCAGCTACTCTGGCAGCTGAGGCAAGAGAACCACTTGAGCATAGGAGTTCAAGGCTGCAGTGAGTTATGATCACACCAGTGCACTCCAACCTTGGCGACAGAGCAAGACCCTTCTCTACAAACACGCTACAACACGGATGAAACATCATATTAAGTCAAAGAAGCCAGATACAAAAAAAAAAAAAAAAAAACACACAAACAAAAAGAAGCCAGATACAAAAGGTTACGTGTTATATAATACCACTTCTGTGAAATATACAGAATAGGTAAATGAATAGAGAACAGAAAGTAGATTAGTGGATGCCAGGGGATGGGGCTGGGGGGAATGGTTAATGACTCCTAATGGGTACAGGATTTTTTTTGAGTGACAAAAATGTTGTGGAATTAGACATTGGTTATAGTTGCACAAGGCTAAAGACCACCGAAATGCATGCTTTAAAATCATGTATTTTATGATATGGGAACTATATCTCAATTTTAAATGGCACCCCCAAATTCAGCTACATCCCTTTTTTACATGTGCTTTTACCCAATCAGTCCTTTGCTTTCTTCACTTCTCTCACTCAGCTTTGATTCCATAGTTTATCAATTAAACAATATTCTTTCTAAATGCCTAAATTCAACTGTCTGTCCAACACAGTCCTGGATGAATTTCTCTTTTCTCCAAGCTTATATCTGTGTCACCAAACCCTACTGGAGAAGTCATGAAATAGGGCAGACATGTTCCACTAAAAATTCATAAATACCAACTTCGAATGGGCCCTTCACTTTTACTTCCTCTTCCACTCTGAACCCTAACTCACTTCAGCCTCTCTCTTCACTCAGTAGATAATGTATCTCCTACTTCATAGAGGAAATAAACACCATTACAACTTTAAAAATTACTTCCCCAACTCTGTATAACCCTCCAGCCACCAACCTTTCTTCTCCCTTTTCAAGCTAACTCTGTCAGATTCCTCATTTCTGAACCCATTAGAGTCTAGCTTTAGTCACTTATCACTTCATCAAAATTGCTCTTGCTAATGTTATCCATAACCCTACTGTGCTTCTAAATCTAATGACATTTTCCAATTCTCATTGTATTTGTTCCTTTGATAACATTTGTGACAACACTCATCCTTTTGGAAACTCTCTCAAACACTCATGCTCCAGGCATTCCTCCAGTGTCTCAGGCTGCTTTGTCTTGGTCTCCTAATTTATAGCCTCCAACACTGCATTCTGCCTCCCTCTCAGGACTGCAGCAACATTTCCTCAAGAACCCATTTCCTCTAGCCCTAAGGCTAGTGCATATGCCCTTCTCTCTGCCCAGAATATTCTTTTTCACTTTGCAAAATTAAGACTTTGGATATCACCTTGGTTACCACTTCTTTAGAGGAGGTTTCCTTTACCTCTCCCGCTGCCAGACAAAGTCAAAGCTTCCAGAGACACAGAGAGCAAGCAAGCATGGCAGAGAGAAAGAAAGTGTGTGTGTTTCTTTAATAAGAGGAAGAAGAAAGATGACATGGAGAAGAAAGAAGTTTTTACTAATCCCAACGTGAAACTAACATGACATCCTATTAGAATTAAACCAGGGCAGATACACAATATGGTGGATTCTTAGAATTAATGTAAGATTTATCCTATATTACTAAAACTATTTGCTTGATGATCTCTTGCCAATTTTTTCTGGCTGTGTATTATAGAATTCCTCAGTGTAGCAAAAATGGGAAGAATCAAAGTGTTATTGTTGTAAAGAATATAGCTAATAAGTATATTAAGAACTTTTTCCTTCCAATTCTGCCCAAGTTCCTGGTAGAACTAATCTGGTATGTTAACATACCTGTCTTTTCTACCTGGTACAATTTGATGGATGTTTGAACATTGTATGCAACCATCCAACTACTGACTTGATTTTTACAGATAATTGCAATGCTAAATTGGCAAGTATTCTAATAAAGCTTCAAACTAAACACATGATGAACAAACTGTTCCTATTCCATCCTGCAACCTATCACACACAGAGTACCTGTCTTCTGATATCTTCAATTTCCCTCCCTGCTACTAACACCTTTAAATATCTAATCTTATCTTTTCCTCTTGTACTTTGGTGGAATCACTGTCCTTCCGCCTTACAGAGGCAGACTTTCTAAGTATGCTTTTGATTCTATCCTTTCTAACCCCACATGCCTTACTCTAGCAGTTATTGCTCCCTTTTATCTTTAATCTCCTCCTTGTCAATGCTTCCTTATTGAAGTCTCCAGCTACCAAGAAAAATAACTTCACTTTAGTCATTCTCGCAAATTACCACTCCAATCTTTCACTTTACTCCTTTAAAACTGCAAAAGCAAGAAAAGCTTGTTACATTCCATAAATGGTCATGGGACACCAGTTATTTACATGCAAAGAAAGAAGCTGGACCTCTACTTTACATTATATTAAAAAGAATTACTCAATATGGATCAAAGACCTAAAGGTAAAAGCTAAAATAGGCTGGGCGCGGTGGCTCACACCTGTAGTCCCAGCACTTTTGGAAGCCAAAGTGGGTGGATCACAAGGTGAGGAGTTCGAGACTAGCCTGGCTAAGATGTTGAAATCCCGTCTCTACTAAAAATACAAAAATTAGTCAGGTATGGTGGCAGGTGCCTGTGGTCCCAGCTACTCGGGAGGCTGAGGCAGGAGAACTGCTTGATCCCAGGGGGCAGAGGTTGCAGTGAGCCAAGATCACGCCACTGCACTCCAGCCTGGGCGACAGTGAGACTCCATTTCAAAAATAAATAAATAAATAAAAGCTAAAATTATAAAAACTCTGCGAAGAAAACACAGGAGCAAATCTTTATGACATTGGACTAGGCAATGGTTTAGCTATGACATCAGAAGTACAGGCAACAAAAGGAATAAATAAACAGGACATTATCCAAATAAAAACCTTTTGTGCTTCAAAGAATACCATCAGGAAAGTTAAACAGACTGGGCACGGTGGCTCACATCTGTAATCCCAGCACTTTGGGAAGCCAAGGCAGGAAAATCACTTGAGTTCAAGACCAGTCTGGGCAACCTAGCAAGACCCAATCTTAAAAATTAGCCAGGCATGGTGGCATGTGCGTGTAGTCCTAGCTACTCATGAGGCTGAGACGGAAGTATCATTAAGCCCCGGAGTTCAAGGCTGCAGGGAGCTACAATCACACCACTGCACTCCAGCCTGGGCCCCAGAATGAGATCCTGTCTCTAAAAAAATAAAAATAAATTGTGGTAGTATATATGTAACAAAAAATTAGCCATTTAGACTATTTTTTATATTATGGTAAAATACACAAACAGAAATTTTACCATTAAGTGTTAAGTACATTTACAATATCTTGCAACCACCAACACTATCCATTTCCAGAACTTTTTCATGAAAACCAAACAGAAAACTGTACCCATTGAATAATAACTCCCAATCTCTCCCTCCCCACAATCCATGGTAAACCTTTATTCTACTTTCCGTCTGTATGGAATGGCCTATTCTAGGAATCTCCTATAATAAGAATCACATAATATTTGTCAATTCTAGCTTATTTCACTTAACATGATGTTTTCTTTTCTTTGTTTCTTTTTGTTTTTTTTTCTTGGAGACAGGGTCTCACTCCAGTTGCCTGGGCTGGAGTGCAGCGGCGCAATCTTGGCTCACAGCCTCCTAAGTAGCTGGGACAACAGGCAGGCACTACCATAGTTTTTTGTATTTTTAGTAGAGATGGGGTTTCACCATGCTGCCTAGGCTTGTCTTGAACTCCTAGACTCAGGCGATCTGCCTGCCTTGGCCTCCCAAAGTGCTGGGATTACAAGTGTGAGCAATCACACCCAGCCAACATAATGTTTTCAAGGTTCATCCATGTTATAAGCAGGGTATCAGAATTTCATTTCCTTTTTTAAAGCTGAATAATATTCTGTTACCTGTATATACCACATGTTTATCCATTCAGTTGTTTGATGGACACTTGGGTTGCTTCTAACTTTGGGCTATAGTGAACAAATGCTGTTATGAACACTGGTG